AACGGAAAATTATCTAATTAATATACTCGCAGAAGCGAGAGACCGATTCTCGAATGATTAGGAACACAATTGTTTTACTTTGTCTCTCTGGCAGTTGGAGATTGAACACAGAAGCGTAGAAACGACCCTCTTTTCTTTTCTTCTTTGCACCACCTGGCAGAAATGACACGATAGCAGAAGCGACACGATGGACGATAATTCAACGGAGAAAATTTAGAAAAAGAAAAAGTAAAATTAATCACCGCTTGTAGTCTCGAAGGGAAAGAAAAGCCTCACCGACTCACATACATACATCATACATACATACATACATACATACATACATACATACATACATACATACATACACAACACACACACACACATACGCATGCATGCATACACACAAACACACACACACACATACATACATACACGATGCGATGACGATCGACTCCTATCCGTGTCAATGACTAAATAGATGTGCAAATAGTTTCTTTTTCTTTCTTTCGTCTCGCGATATCGTTGGGTTCTCTCTTACGTTCTACACATACGACGCGAAAGCCGCCTAAGGAATCGAGAAATTTCAATGATTCAATTGAAAAAATTTGGCACTGATCAGCTGTGAAAAAATATCATCGTACTGCTCTGTGACTTCGACTTTTTCTCACCTCCTCTTTTTCTTATTTTTTTCATCCCTTTCTCTGCTAGGATATCGTACAATTGTTTTATTTTTCGCCGTTTAATTTTCTGTAATTGCCTGGCGCATACGATATATAATATATTTCCTAACAATACAATCGACTATATTCACTGATAATGCATAAAATACTCTTCAGTATAAACGCGATGTCACGTCGCAAGATCACGTATTTTTCTCTGTTTTTTTTTTTATTATTTTTTCTTCTTTCTTTTTAGAAATCCTAGCGAACTTTCGACAAGGTCGTCAATCATGAAACTCACCAAATCAGTACGAGCAATACGCATTGGAGTTCGATACCTCTCATCGTACATTCTTGAGAGGCTGTGAATCGAATGTTCGTTAAGAAGATTGACTGGATTGTCGTGTAAAGTACTATATCAGACTTACCTGAGATATTTGTCAAACAAAAATGTCAAATTTATATATACAAATGAAAACCTGTACAGTAGACTTTTAGGACAGCCGATGGAAAACTCGTCTTTTAAAAACATCCAAAGGACATTCTACGTTCTGTAAGAACATTTATAGAATATCCCTTAGAAGTATATTTTGTGAGAACGTACTTCATAATAAAAAAAAAAGAAATAAATTTTTTTATGTTCATTATACATGACTATTTTTCAATATAAAATAAATTCAGCTCTCGAGATCTAAACAATAATAATAAATGTAAAATTGATTAACGGGCAATTAAAAGAGCTAAGAAACGCAGTTATTCATGCGTATAATTAATAAATGTATTTGATCAAGATCTTACATTTTGAATTCGCAAGAAATTTCACAAAATGACTATTTTCCACAAATGCAACTTATTAAACAAAAAAAAAGTAATAAATGCGGCTCTCAAGAATGCACGATAATTCGACTGTTGTTACGTACTCGCGTGCATAATCGACGCCCACAAGGAAAACTCGGCAGAATTTTGCGTAAAACTGATTCTCCCTGAGTGGTGATAAGCTATTCTGTAGGTTTGGTGTTTTCATGTCTATTACTCCCGCACCTCGCTTGTTGAATATACAATATTACTTTTTATCGTACAATTTATAAACCTAGATCCCTAATTAGTTTTCTCTTTCGCTTAAAAATCCCGCTTCTAATCGCTAATCGGACTTACAAATTTAGTCGACAATACAATCGATTCCATTACTTTATCCTATTATCCCTCAACCACCTCTAGCATGTTCCAGTCGATGCGAACTAATACTTTTACGTAAAACGCATTATACCTAGTATCTTGTAAATAAAAATGCGGTGGAGAAAATTGATATATAGATTTAGAGAACACATCGTTGAATTACGACAAAGAACACAATGTGGTAAAATATAATCAGTCGATCCCTAGCTCTTCGTAAAATCTTCAAACTCTTTCGCTCGACAAACATCCTAATCGCTGGTAGGTGGTCTTGGGAAAATTTTAGTTTTGTACGACAAATTCGAACATATGTACGTATATCATATTTATATACTTCATTCGTTTAATTAGTTTTGCGAGGCTGAGAAATCTCATATTATGCTCGTAACCACGGTGCAAAAATAAAGCGACAGCATGGGACGTATCATCCTGCGAGTGTACCCTCTCTTAGTTTCTTTTCGACATCTACGAATACTACATGTATGCTATTTTCCTCTGTTTTTTTTTTCCGCAATTTCAATGACACGACGAGACATTATCCGTGAATTATGCATTCGGGCCGATCGCAGCGGACACTTGTCGATCCTCTTTTCTTCCCCCTCCCTTTCCAACTGTCGTTTTACATTGCATGTCATTCTGTGATTTGTTTGAAGTATCACATGCAAATTTCTTCGCCGATTTATGAACGAGCTACATTTTATTATATATATCGTAGCCTTTGAGCGGAATACCTTACGTTTTCTTACCCCAAGTCTTATCTCCTAAAAATGTTCTACCGTATCGTCTAGCACTTTTGATTTTGCGATTTGCACACGGCGTCGCATGCTCTCGGAAATCATAGACAATGATGGTGCGAATAGAAAATCGAAGGTTATCCTCACAGAAATAAAACGAAATGAATTAATTTCAATTCCGACATATACACATATTACATCTTTAAGCAACGTAGCTTCGACTTCAAACGATCGTGCGTCTCATATCTTACACAATTAATCGCGCATATCGCGATTTCAATACATACACATATACATATATAATATGTATCGCACAAGTATTCACAAATTTATAAATATTTGCATTATCAAGATATGTGCCGTCGTTCGGTCTCATTCATAATTTTTCATTATGTCCTCGAATAATAAGACAATTTTGTTAAAATTATTTCAATCTACAATGTGACAATTGCTCTCATGATTTCTTTGCAAGGAATTCTTTAATGATTTAACTTTATTTCATCTATAAATTGATAAACAAAATTAATTTAATATTTATTTACTGAATTAAATTCGGTAAATAATTAATAAATTATATTGAATTTTAAATAGTTAATGTAGAGAGAATGGATTTAATTCATAATAGACAAATAAAGATAATTCTCATTTATGATTTAATTTAGTATTATACATTAATGTTTTCATTGACATCTTAAACTCCGATATACAAATTATATTTATTTCCTAAGTATCGAAGTACAAACATTATCGATCATGGAGTCATTGCCATCAACATTGATATCAAAAAAGTAATTAATATAATTATTAATCCTCTAATGATACAGTGAATTTTTAAAGCGTATCCAGAGGAAGGTGAAGTCTGATTCGATCCGATACCTTCATTTTATCGTGAATCAATGTGAAAAATGGGTAAAAAATAAATAATAACATTCTAAACTTCATCCTATGTTTATTTGTAGATAAAAAAATACAATAAAATTTAATAATTTCAAATACTTGTAGTAAAATAAAAAACGTTTCGATTGATAAAGCCGCAGAATTACATCTGATCTTAACCCTATTATTAGAGAGGGTCAACATAACAACAGTAGGAATATTAAAACAGATCAAACGATGGCACAATATCTTTTTCTATTTGCATTCCTCGAAAATTTATGCATAACAACGACCAAATATCGATGAAATTTATAGGCTGAAAAAGGAAAGTTAAATGAAGAGGGATAATGAGATGAAGGGACGGCAGATGAAGTTAAAACGAAACGATCATGCGTTCGCTCGAAAATGTCGAATTGCGATCAACCTACTTCACAGCTCTTGTTGGCGAAAGGCAGTGCTCGTCTTGTACATATTTGGGTATTCCACCCTTTTTTTTATACGTGTGTGTATAAGATTAGAATATACATTAAATTAGCTTTGAAATAGGTTGCACTCGATATTATCATTGTCATATAGTACACACGCTGCGGTACATCTCAACGGTGGTACGCTAAAGAAATAGGAAAGCTGCATAAGCACATCGGTTTTAAAATTGTGACTTTTACAGAACATTTGTGTATAACAAGAATAGTTGGTATGTATAACTAACTTATCGAAATCAATGTAACCGGTAATTCAGTTTTCTCCTTTCGATTTTCGATTACGTGTTCTTCGTTAACTCTTTTTCTCTTTTCTTTAATTTCTTATAAAATTTCGCGTATCCTTTTGTCGCACCACCAGAAATACGCGCAGTTACCGTCGTTAGAGAATGTACACCTACTGTATTATTGCTATTTAACGCGATAGATTAACTTACAATCTAATATTTGTACATCTGTGGATTTGCTGTTCAATGATGATGCCTACAAAGAGAGATAAAGAATATGTCTCAAATGTATCTAAATTTTTTTTATCAAAGAAAAAAATTACTATTTTTTAATTTATAATAATGTTCCAGCAATATTTGCATTGAACATTTTAATAAATTATAAAAATTTGAAATAATTATCATTTCATGATAAAATACCCTTTGATATTAGAAAAATCTACGAGACAAATCTTCCTAACTGCTTCTTCGTCTTGAATTAAATTTTTTTTACATTATACACCCTATTTGAGCCTCTAATATATTATTACAGTTGCAATGTACATATAACTCGTACATATAAAATCTAACAGGTGAAAAATAGGAAGATCGTAAAAAAATTATAGTAAATACTTGATTTGATACATATAGATGATTTGATGAACACAACGTTTCAATGAGATCCATGACAAAATCGCTATCAAATAGGTGTAAAATACTTAGATTTGTACAATATATATATGATTAATATACATGTAACAACTTTAAGATACTTCGTGAAGAGATATAAAGATATAAATCTCGAGATATATATCTGTACATTGTAAACTGTAATCGATATTATTAAAGTAATTCATTTCTTATAAAAAAATTGCCAATAAACATGGCGTAGAAAAATGTATCGATAATATCTTGCGAAGAAGCGCAGTTAGGTCTCTCTTGTGGTGAGATTGGGTCCTTTGATGCTGGATAACGTATGTATGTACCAACAAATCTCGTTTTAATAATTAAGACCCACAGCTACCACGTCAAGTTTGAATCTACCTTCAGCTTGGCTTGCCCGGTGGCCCGTGGCTAGTCGGCGAAGGTCCATGTGAATGAAGATTATGAACTCCGCCTACTTGATTGCTGGTGAGACTGGACATGGTGGGCTGATACATCGACGGCATATAACTACTCGACGATTGTGACACCGACCTGGTAATTAATAAAAATTATACTCATAATGAATGGTGGTCCGTGACTAGATTCTAAGTTTAATCCTAAAAAATATATTTATATATATATAATAGACCAAAAAGATATTTACGGACCTTGGTACACCACGCAGTGGATCTGGCGTGACAGACGAATTTCGTACCACGCTGGAAGCGTTCGCTGGAGCTGGAGATACTATGTTACTAGGTTGACCCTGAAGATATCCAGCTCCAGCCGGACTGTGCCTATATTGCAGAGAACAAATTTGAATAAACTACAGTAACGATATTTTATAAACAAATACGTTACCTCATTGATGGACTTGGTTGAGGCGCAACCAGTGATCCTCGGTGATACTGAGCGAGAGAAGCAGCTGCAGGCGGGGAAGGATCCGGTGGCAAACCGTTCTCTAATGTCGTTGGATGACTACCGGAACTAGAGTGAGGCATGTACGCGTTATTTATTCGTGGTTCACGGCTCACTCTAGGTACTGGTGCAGGAGCGCCAGGTGGCACTTCTGAGTGCGAGACATTAGGGTGAGACGGATTCACCGTCGGGTGTATATTATTCACTGAAAATAATACAAAAAGATACATTATGCAGGTTATCTTTTCATGATCGATACAAAATGTATCATAAAATAGTCGAAATCTAACTAACCTGGATGTGAACTAGGTTGAGTTGTCAACGGAATAGCAAGTCTAGCATTCACAGCCAATAAATGGTCTCTCCTTTGCAGGAGATTATTTACATGTTCCTCTAGCCTAAGGTTCTCAGCTCTCAATTGATGTAGGCAGGAAAGCAGGGATGCAACTGCAATAGATTTCGATGTTGCTAGTTTATATTTTATTTAAATAGAGAACGCTTTTTATTAAGAAACTAATGCGATTTACGTTTAACGTAAAACATGATATGCAGTCTTTTTTATTGATGACATTATCGTAAAAAATGAAAAAAAAAGCATGGCATCCTCTTTATCAAACTGCAACATGCAACTTTAAGTACATTTCTCATTTGTCAAATACTCACTATCGAAATGTTGGGCTTGCTCCATTAAGAATTGACTTCCCTGTTCCCACTGTCTTTCCAGGAGCTGATCCAATGTTTGCGGGATCGTTCCGCTACCCAAAGTACCACTGGTAGAGGCTGTATTAAGACCCGCAGTGTTGCTACTCGAGGAGAAAACTGTAGAGAATGAAGTGGAGGGTGCACTCGTTTGGCCAGATCGTATCTGCTTAAAAAATAAAATATTTTTAATAATTTTTGTGTTAAACAATACAATTTGTAAGATTTAATTTGCTTTATATCATATTATTAACAAAATTTATGTTGCTTTGAATTCAATATGATGTCGAATTGATGTGTTTTTACGTACAGATGCAATTACTCGACTGTGCAGCTGCGGTCCAATCAAGTTTGTATTGGAGTTACTCGCCTCTGTAAAAATAGAATGAGCCTCAAGCTCCTGGGAAAGCGTGTCCGACATCTTTTGTGCCATCGTTGAAGTAGGATTCAACTGATTCCCTAGCATATGTGGTGCACTAACTCCATTTTGAAATCTGAGAAAAGAGAAAAATATTCACATTATTTTCTAATCAATACTTTCTCTTTAGCAAATCTTACAATTTCACGTTATTCTCCTCCTTTATCGGGATATTGATAAGAGCGGTTGGTGTAGTTGATGCAGACGGAATGGGAGTGGATGCGGCAGTTTTCCTCTTTCGTTTGCTCGTGGTACTACTCATGCTTTCTGATCCAGGACTACTGGGAGGTGATTCCTTGACAGTAGGCCCCATAATGTTCACAGAACCTGGGCCACTGATGCTACTGAAGTGTCCGACAGTAGCCAATGCAGGGCCCTGAATAATTGACGGTATTGGGGCCACCGTGGCGGCAGGCGGAGGAGTCTGATGATTGTTTCTCGCGCCTCTTTTGGTCGTTGTCACGACCGCGGTGCTGGAGACAGAGGTTACGATTGATGAGGCTGTCGTTTGGGACTGCGGCAGTGATAATTGGTTATTGGAGCCACGCTTCGGTTTGCGAGGCTTCTCTTGTTTGTCCGACGACTGGGAACTGAAAGTTAACAAATGTATCAAACTATTAGTAACTCACATATATATATATATATATATCAAACTTGAGAGTTTTTTATCGCAACTAAAATTTATTATTTTATGTAACAATAGTTAATAACATGGTAATAAAAAAAACCGTTAGTATTTTAACACACACGATCAAAAATAATCCCGAAATGGGAAATATAATTCTTTAACGTTCTCGAACCATGTGACAAAATGAAGACAAGGAACAAGATCAACGTACACCGAGGCGAGTCGTCACGACGGAATGCCATTTACGTTGTCACGTTACACCCTTCCGTCGCTCGTTGCCCGTGAGGCGCCTTGCCGAGGAAAAAACAAACATAACCTCAATGCCTCCTGTTCGTCACAATCCGCGTCTGGAGTACGCGAACGGAGTCACGGGAGCCGCTCGACACCGATGACGTTTTTTCTCTCTTTCTCTTTTCCTTTTTTTTTTCTTTCCACTCTCGTTTTACTGAGGTTACAACGTTATAATACGATAATATCGCACACAAACACGTCACGATATCGCAACAATTTCGCGATGCAATTATTATGCAGCGCGCGCGCGCGAGTTCGCTCGCCGAATGACCCCGAGTGAACCGCCGTGCTCAATACATAGACTAGACACAAACACAACACTGATGTAAACACACTCCATCTTCTGTCGCACTCGCGACTCGTCGAGCCCGCTTCCACTCGCGCTACGAATATGGAGTCATTTTTGATAAATGCCTTTCGCACGACAGGAACTACCCGAACATTCGGTCAGGCGAGCATTCTGTGTAGGTGAATGTCCCATTCTGACGTGTGGAAGAGGTTAGAACTTTGACCACCTTGTTTACTAATCATGCCCGCCATTTTAAACGCACGCGGCGCCTGACACTCCTGAGACTCCTGGGAGCCGCATGTGCTTTTCTCCCTGACTTCTACACTGGATTCACCTGAGAACTTGAAATTATCTCGCGCACGTTGCCGTATTTTTCACGTACAGTTGCTACATAAATTTTTACTAGGTATATAGATTCAGTGTTCATAATTCTGATTGCAACATTAACAGCAGAAAAAGATGCACATATTTTCTTTACTTTTCTTCACATTGTAACTCAACTAAACTTCAATATTATTATAATATTTTCTCCATTATATAATTTCTTTCCCTGTGGCAGAGAATTTTACATAATAAAAATATATATTATAATACAATTATGAGACAGAATTATACTTACAACAAATTATTGGTTTAATCTACACATTTCTTACATGCTTTGTAATTGCTTTCGTTTAATCTATGCTTTTCTGCTAAACTTCTTGTATCATTTACTTTCTAAATTCTTTTAAGTGAAATCTTAATTTAAAGAGTGAAAATTGAGTTAATCTTGAAAAGAGTGATTCAATTTTCAATTTTTAAGAGTAAGATTTACTCTATCAATGAAATTTAATTTTAATCTCAGTTCAAATTAATAAACCCTAGTAAGAGAGCTTTTCTAGTTCTAAAAATTAGAAAAAAAAAATGAAGAGTAAGTTACACTAATATTATAGTTAATCTACATTAATTAATCTAAGATTAATTAAGAAACGGGCATTAGAGAGTATCCTTTTTTTCTTCACATTAGACTATACGTTTTCCTACTCGAGTGCCACTCAAGTACTACTTCATCTTTATATTGTTTATCAAATGTTAAACATAAAGATAACATAATACCTGAAAAATATTTAGATAAGAATCTGAATGCGTCCCTATCGGATATTCGAAGATACTACCTGACTGCCTCTTGGAATGCGTTTCGAATTACACACAAAATATTATTTGTCCTTGTTGTTCATTGAAGACCAAAGGATAAAATGACACATTATACGCTTCATGTATAATTTAGAACGCACCCCTAGTATCCTTGTTTAACATTTGGTAAATAACAAGGATAAAATGATACTCGGATAATGTTTTCGAATGTAACATTGATCATGTAAGTTTTTCTCTAGAACAAAAATGTAAAAAGTGAGAATTTTTATGTATGTACAATAAATACGTGCATACAAAAAATGTTCATTTTACTTTTAGAGAAAAAGTTACACGACTGATTGCCTTGGAGACAAATACCACTGATTCCCTTGAAGTCAAATATATTCATAGTTAGGCCTTATATTTAAGGCTTCCTTAAGTTAGTTTACCTTCAGATGCTCTATGAATTATTTTATTGGCTACTGAGCATCTAAAGATAAATTTAAGAAAATTTAAGTATAAGGTCTGACTATGAATACGAGCAAAAGGCTATTATATTTGTCATAAGATAAATTTTCATGCATGTTTATTGGCTGCAGGACAAAGAAGTTCTCGGATCACTATATCCTAATAGCCGACCAAGGCTTGAAAAATTTGTCATACTCTTTAAATTCTTTGGAAGGTAAACGGGGTAATAAATCCAATTGAAAAGAACAGACCCTACACATGTCTGCTGTATTTTTTCGAAAGAAGAATCTCCAAATGACAAGAATAAAAACTTTCTTTTTAAACCGTAATCTCGTAACCATCACGATAAAGACTTACCGAGCTCGTTTTATCGGCATGTTCTCTGAGGTGAACCTCTCGATGTTCGGCATCGTACTCGATCGCGGTTCGGTATTGGCGGCCGTGGTTATTATACTTTGCTGTATCTGTTGGTACATTGTCGGTGCGCTTGTTACCACGCTCTGAACCGCACTGGCGAGCGAAGTAGAAATCAACGGTACGGACACGACGATACTGTTAGACGTAGTCGTCGGTGACTGGGTAACGATCGAGGACTGGGACTGCGTTACCGCCATTATCACAGGCATGGTGGTTGCCTCCGTGGCTACCGGCGTGCTCGACAACGACTGAATCGGGCTGTCGATTTTCATCTGTAATCGAAGACGGAACAATATGATTACTAGAAGAACACAGCCGAGTAAGAATCCAAACATGTCTTTACAGACAAATAACAAGTTCACTGTTATGACAAAATAAATATTGAGATAAAATAAATAGCGCGAGGAACACAATAAACATATTTTTTTAGCTTAATTTCTTGCACAGTACATTTCCTTCCTTTTTTCTTTTCAGTTAGAGAAAAAAAAAACAGAACTATTATTTTCTATGCTATTTATTTTTAATAAGAATATATTCAATTATAAGTCTGTTTTTTATTGTTATACTACACTGCACTAGAACTTCTTTTTCTCACTTTCGTCAAATATCAAACATATATTTATCTCACTTAAAATGCCAAAAGTGTACAACTACAAAAAACAGATCTTACAATTGTAAGCGTATAAATCTAGCACTATCTCATGAAAACTCCACTATTCTTAATATTTTGTTTTATCTACATAATATCTAATCCGTCTATATTTCAGTTGACCTTTTATAGATCTTTTTTTTATACAATACTATTACATACCTTTGACGGTCAGGTTTGATAACTAAAGTAGCTTTAATAAAATTACTTTTTTGTCTGAATCATAGATTTCTAAAGAGAATTTTTCTAATCAAATTTGCTTGTTGTGCTTATCAAATTTTGTTAATCCATGAATATAATTGATATTTGATGAATTTGTTCGGAGATACAGAGATATTCCTACTGTAAGATCAACTGTTTATGAACTGATTGTGATTATATAAAGAAGTTCCCGTTTATTATTACAAAGTATAACGTAAATTTTGACTGAATTGAATAAATAATAAGGCCAAGTATTTATTTATACTCATACATGTAAAGTGATTCACTAGATAAATGTTTCGAATGCTTCATTTTTGACAATGCTTACTTTCAATCTTCATAATTTTTTACAATGATTGAAATTTTATTAAACAAATAGATATAGAAATAAATGTTTCTAATTTATAAAAAATAGTTAAATTAAATATTCTTGTAGCAATGTACATGAATATTGTGAATATCTCAAATTATTATTATTACTAGTATTGTTATTATTGTTATTAGTTATCATTATTAGTTATTATATTATTATTATTATTTACATTTATAAACCAGAATTACTGTTTCTATAGACAATCCACAATATAATACAACGTATTATATTCGAATAATTTCTTTTACATATTTTAAAATTTATGAACGATTAGTTCAATATTGTAATCGATTGTTTGCACCAGTTTATTGTAAATTATAATGGAATCTGTATTAAAATATCACAAGACTAACTACAAAAAAAAGTTCTTTTTATGTTTAATTCAAGTTTTCACGTTTAAAAAAGATGAGTGCTAAATTGGTTTAATACAATGGACATACGAAAGATCTTTACCTTTTTCGACTTTTCCGGTTCCGTCGTTACGCTTAAACTAGTGGCTTCAGTAATTGTTGGCTGCACGTTGTTGCTCGGAATGGTTTGTTGCACTATGGAACTGATCGCCATCACGACCGATCCGCTGGCTTCCGAGCTGGCCGATTGATTCGAGTTATCGTTCCCTACAGTCGGCGTACGCGCCCCGGTTTTCCTTTTCTTGGTGGCGTGACTCGACGCCTTGTTGGAAGTCGACGAGTTAGACTTTCCCTGGCCCCCAATATTCTTGTGCGCCGCGTTAGAATTGCCAGCGTTCATCTTTATTGCGGAAGTGGTCGCTGTCGTGGTGACGGTGGTGATCGTGCCGCTGTTGCCATCGTGTCCGAACACGCTCTCCGACTGTGTAACCACGGTCTCAACAAAGTTGGAGGTCGTGAATTTGCTGGAACTTGTGCTGGAATTATCTTTGGGCGTATTGCGACCACTACTACCGCTCTTGTCGTCCGCGATTCCGTTTATCTCTAAACTGGGACTAGTATTAGATTTACTTTTAGAATTCGCACTGGACTTGGAACTCGAGCTTTTCCGCTTGCCGCTCGATTTTATCGGCATCTCCGCCTCTTTTTCCGGCGACGAGTCCGACGAACCGTTGTCAGCGGATATCGGTTTGTACGGCGGTATCGTTTTCACATTACCGCCTTTTTTCTGCAAATTGATTACATTATCTAGGAAACTTTCATACTCAGTATTAATTACTATCTAAATAATACTAATTAATACTTGTATAAATATTCAATATTGAATTATTCACCAATTTCGAATAGTGATGCTGGCAGTAGCCACAATATTTGACATTGTCGAGATAGTTGCCAGCTTCCTCGCAAAGCAAGCCCAAAGCCTGTGCACAGGTGACATGAAATTGCTGCCTGCAGCCTGCTTTGTTACACTGCATGCAAGCTCCCACGTTTGCTCTGCTACCTTTGCCTTGTTCCTCACAGATGTAACATGTCTATATAAAATTATTCAACTCTTATGTTACAAGATACAATAAAATGTATGCGACATTAAAAATATAGTTATCAATTTATTTCATCACATCTGTAATGTATCAGATTAGAGATTGAATTTAATCCATCTAAGCAAAGTTTATTAAACTTGATATTGATTTTCAGCTTCTGATTGGTCAAATTCCAATCATAATCTTAATCTAGTCTGATACGTGTTTAATAACAAGATTCACCTTGCTAAATCTTTCTGAAGGAATGAGCTCCAATATAATTGGTTCCATTGTAGTCACGTTACCGAATCTGACTTCAGGAATATAGAGAGCACACACGACATGCGCCCATCCTGCCTGATTTGTCCTTTTGAGAGCTCCATCCCGACTCGGACATAATTCACAGCGCTATTGGAATAACGATATACATCAATAAAAACATTACTATCTTATCATAGTAAATAAAGAACAGATATCAAACATTTATGTCTGCTTCTAGCAATTTAATTGAATTTTAATCTTGGTTTAACTTATTTTTCAAATTTTTCAAGAACTAGAAAAAGATAAAGAATAAGTTTAAGTGAGATTAAAGTTAATCTGCATTAATAGAAACGTGCATTAGTCTGTTGGAAAGACTAAAAATGAGAATTCCCAAGCACAAAGAAACTATTTTCCATACCACTCGAGCACTGCGTTCCTGTGACTCGCATTTTCTGCAATACCATGGTCCAATTGGTACAGTAACGATGCCATAGCATGCTGCAAAACAATGTTTATTATTCTTCGATCAACAGAAGAAAGTCAAATTACTTTGGATACGTTTCACCTGATGTTTATAACGTTCATATAATCATTTCATCCTTGTTTATTGAATGTTAAACCAAAACAAATAACGCTCTTAAGCTTTAAGAGTCAAGTGAAACGGGCATCCTTTGTGATGTATGTCGCGACAGACAAATACCTTGATGCACAGCAACAGTGCAGCCCTGTCCATCGCAATACACCAGCGGATTCTCTGTCCAACCCCTCTCGTCAGAACACACACAGCACCCTCCGAGCATCTCCTTCATGCTGTGCCCCAAGCAATTCGGAAGACGAGACTAGCATGAGGAGCTAGGCGACGGACCGCGGGCATCGGCTACGTGGAGCAAAGAGATTCGTGTCGCGCGTGCTGCACGATCGCATTCTGGTGACGACGCGGCGTCCTCCGCGATGAGGCTCTCGTCGGTAGCCTCTCCTCTCCTCTCTCTCGGTGGGGTCCCGCCACCGCCGTGTATCCTCGGCAACCCCGGCACGACTCGCGGATCACGCGCGATGCGGCACGCGGGGCACGCGCGTCGTGTAAACGAGAGAGGGGAAAAGAACGGAGCGAAGAGCTCTACTCCTCGTGAGGGCGAGGAGTAAACGAAGCACGCTGGACGCGAGCGGACGAAGCGTGCGAGCGTGCCACACACGCGCGCGCGCGCGCGCACGTTTTTCGCTCAGAAGAGGCAAGCGAGGAACGGCGCCGTCGGCCGAGCGAACGTCGCGGATTATCTACACGCCGACCGGGTCGCGCGAACACACGTGCGGATGTAGGCGGCCCCACGCTCGGAACGTGTTCGGACGGGTCGTGTTATTTACGACGGCGCTCTATTTGTTTCCTTGGGCGGCCATCTTATTTTTGCTCGTCGCGCGCGAGCTGCGCATGCGCACGCCCGCCGCGACTGCTCTGTAAGGCGCCTTTCTAATTTCACGATTAAATGCCTATTTTCATCAATGTAAATTTAGCTGTATTTTCGGTTTATCTTCATTCTATTATCTTTCCCTAGTTATGTATTCGAATAAGATAAAGAATAAGTTAAACCGAGATCAAAGTTAATTTACATTAGTAGAAATGAACAATCTAAACAAATCTCGCGTTCTTTCCAGAGCATTTGATTGGACGTAAAATGATTCCCACGTGTCTGTAAATGACGAATGTCATTTCCCTGTGAAACGGCGCCAAATACAAATTATGCGTTAAATTTCAGATAATCTATAATTTATCAGATTTTAAACTGAAAGTTTAATAAGAATTTTATTATATAGCTTGATGTATCGCGTGCCTTTTAATCATGTTCGATTAATATAATCTAAAATATTTTAATTTTCTAAATATTTAGTCAGTATATTACCAAATATATTAACAGATTTATTCGCGTTGCTTGCATCTTTTGCGTTTAGAATCTTTACTTTTTTAAATACCATTTATAGTAATAATTATAATACTAATTATTTAGAACCGCAAATGTTTAGAAACCAAAGGTGGAAGATCGAATATAAATATAAACAATTGTCATAAAGGACCCCGCACTAAACAAATGGAAAATGGGTTTCAGTGGATTTGGCTAAAATTTGAATATGATGTGGTCCTGGACAAAAGTATGAATGGTCCCAAAGCTCAATAATGGCCAGTTTCCGAGTTATTCAACTCTAAAGTTAAATAAATCTGTATTTTCGGCCCACTATTTTTAAATTACACAGTCACATAAAATTAAGAAAGTGGCATGTGCCAAAGACTAGACCTATGCTTTCTTAGGTATTTTGACGTGCTGAATCCAAATCAGGGATCAAAATTGACCGCCACTATGTCAATTTTTTTTAAATCGTGAAAAACCACCCTTGAAAATGGAAAATTCCACTGTAAATGCATTCAGCGTTAGGTATAAGTGTGGAAACCGACTGAAAATGACTGCAATATCCAACTGATATGTATTTTAATGCTCTGAATTCAATGTCTGCTTATAATGCAATAGATTGTATTATCGCCTCAAAATACCGGAGGTAATAGTAATTATTATACCATACTTATATCTAAATGCTCATCACACGTACAGCCATTGTCAAAGGTGGTGGTTTTTAGCAATTTAAAATAAAATGGTGTGGTGATGGTCAATTCTGACCGGGGATTTGGATCCAGCACGCCAAAATACATATAAGTTGGATGTTGCAGTCATTTTCAGTCGGTTCCCACACTTATACCTAACGCTGAATGCAGTTACAATGGAATTTTCCATTTTCAAGGGTGGTTTTTCACGATTTAAAAAAAATTGACATAGTGGCGGTCAATTTTGATCCCTGATTTGGATTCAGCACGTCAAAATACCTAAGAAAACATAGGTCTAGTCTTTGGCACATGCCACTTTCTTAATTTTATGTGACTGTGTAATTTAAAAATAGTGGGCCGAAAATACAGATTTATTTAACTTTAGAGTTGAATAACTCGGAAACTGGCCATTATTGAGCTTTGGGCCCATTCATACTTTTGTCCAGGATCACATTAACTACATCATATTCAAATTTTAACCAAATCCACTGAAACCCATTTTCCATTTGTTTAGTGCGGGGTCCTTTGTTCAAAATATAAAAAGGAATGATAAATATAATTAAAAAATTTATTACAGTTGCAAAAAAATGTAACTATGTTATTGTTATAAAAATGTGTGTGTGTGTGATAATACTGTTGTCAGTCCATTATCAAAAAAGGAATTTGTAACGGTAACGGCATTATACAATATATCACGCGTTGTGTAAGTTCATATATTTGTAAGATAGTATAGTGTGTATTGTGTGGTGTATGTGTATTATTTTTACATGGAAAAGAAATCACACATATATGAAGGCACTTTATATCGGAATGGAATATAAAATGTATATATATAAAATGAACTTTTATTTGACACTAATTTTGAGTTTTAATATGTGGAAGTTATAATAATGTGTGTGCAAACCGTTAATTTTAAACATAAAAAATTAATATATTATATGTCATAACATTGATTACGCAAAGATGATTGTCATACGTCGTACAAAACTCCGGAAATATGCAATTTTAATACATTGAGAATCAGTATATAAGCGGAAAACGTTGATTTTGAAAATTGTGCGTTAGAGGAAGCGTTTATATTTTGTTCGATAGTTGTACATAAGCTAAAAAGGAGTTATTCAAAGTTTCGCGAATAAAACAGCGAAATGTACATTTGTCTATCCTTATTTATTTACTTGATAAATTATAATCTTCATCTTTAGTCGTTGGTCTGGAGAAGATAAAATATATCAAATATAAAGGTATATGTATGAATTTATATTCGCCTTATATTTTTCCATCAATGGCTGCAATTAACAGTCAAATATATTTTGAGTGCTCTGCTTAAATAAAATAAATATCTTTAAAAATAATACAGAATTGTACTTTTATTATTATCTATTATATTTATAATATATATTTATAGTATATATACATTTATAATATATGTATATATAATATATATTTTTATATGTATTAAAATAATCCTGTTAGAATTATTATCTATATTTTATATTATCATTAACATTATTATATATAATTTATTACATACTAGCATTATTATCTATATTTTCACGAAGCAAGAAACGGTATTTTAATTTTTACAATGCGATCGAAGGAATTGTGCGTAATAAGAACGATTTTGTCGGAGTATATAAAAATTAAACTAGATACAAATAATTATGTTAAACCATAAAAATAATTACACTGCAAATGTGCAATAATAAACGTGTAACAAATTATAATTTTGTAAACTAGTAACACACTGTTATTAGTTTTAAACCACAATTCAAACATGCTAGAATTTCTTAATATGCTTTTTGCTTACTCAGTATACAATAATAATGATTATATATACTCATGTAAACAAGAAATTTATTAATAGCATTGCAACAATGTTATTACATCATTGTAATCTTGTCTACTGTGGACTTTGATTAGATTCAAGAATGGAACTCATGCGTGTCTGATCGAAAGTCACCCACGTTTCATTGAGATTATAAATTATACGTATATGTATTTATCAAACGGAGGTCAATGCTTACGGACGGAATAATCGGAGACGCGATAGCAAATGGCGATTGTATTGTATAAGTACATATTCGCGTGGATTAAAAGATCGCTGTAACGAACGCGGTGAGGGGAAAGTGTAGGCTTTCAAAGATCGAATACATATGTTTATTGTATTATATGTGCTGAGTGCGTTCACTGCCGTCAAAGCATATGTCTATTATACAATACTACCAGGATCGTACTTTTTAGCAAGTACGTGGGAGACCCGTTTACACACTGAGAAAAAAATTCCTAAGTCTGAGTAATATTTTCTTAAATAGTATTAAGTAAACATGTCTTTTATTGTATAAATAAATATTTAAACATAAGCATATATTATGTGATTAAAGTATTACCTTCTTTTTTTGAATAAATATTTATTATTTGCAGTAAAGAAACATTTATTTAGTATTATTCAAGAAAATGTTACTTAAATTTAGGAATTTTTTTCAGTGCATGCGCGAGATTATTAGTGATCGGAGAAATTAGTTGTTCTACAGTACATTTCTTGCAGTTTATGTTTGTTATTATATCTAAGGATAAATATCTTTAATAAACATCCCTTCATGCATTTGTTAAATATCCAAATTTGTTTTGTACTTATTTTTTTGCGCTCTAAGTGTCACACTTGAAACTAAGTGCAGCCCTGAACTGTCATTAACTATCATTAGGCATTTCCATGAACATTCATGCGTCATACTTCAGTACATAACAAACGGTCACTGTGTTAAGATCATCTTGCCAACATGAGGTAATGTTCTCGACAACTTCGTCATGTGGATGATTAGTGTGCTAAAAAATCGAAGTTTAATTTATAATTTAAATAAATTTAACAATAGACCAAGAACATCGATAAAAAGGCTTACACCTATAATCTTTCAGTTACAATCACTACGCAGTAAATAAGAATTAACAGTAACATAATACTAATATTATAATTTCACATTAAACAATGTTAGGCACAATATGTTACTTTATTTATATGATCGAGTATGAGAAATGAGAACGATGTTATGTTATTGTCATTTGAAATTTACTTGATATTCTGTCTACATTTTTTTAGTAGAATTCTATTTACTTTTCTGAATACTTTCATATGTACAGTTTCCACAACAGTGCATAAAAATTTTATTAAAATTATGAAGTGAAAAAATTTTAAATTTAGATATTTAAAAAGGTTTAAAAATTTATTTAAAAAATTCTATGAGTTTAATTTTGTGATTTTCACGAAGGAAAGTGTTTATGTAATGACTGTAACATACATTATCATTCCATCTACTCACGAACATTGACTTTCTCTGATAAATATATAGTAACACTCGCGTTGTATCGTAATAGGATCGCGTGTTCTTTCATCCGTACACTTCAAAAATAAAGATAGAATAATTATAATATTGAGAGAAGTTATAATACTTTTTTTATACAGGGTTACATTTCAGAAATACTTGGTCAAACTGTAAGAGCTTATTCCACTCATTGTAAGGATGAAAAAAGTCATATAAACATGGGTTCGGAAACGCTTCCTTTCCTAGATATAAATATTTCTTATTTACATATATTGTACGTAATTATTTATACGCCAGACGACGTGCCTCGTTTCGACGTGATTTGTACGTTTTCAATTGTACTTCACCTTCTAAAATAAACAAAAGGTCTGTATGGAATTAGAATCCTTTGGATTTTTATTTATGGGGACATCTTAAGATTCTCGTGTATAATACTTCTGTTGCTACTGTGGAAGTACTCCGAAATCGTATTATCGCTGCTTGTGAAAAAATACGAAATACTGCATGATAATTTTTGAACGTCTTCGACAATCCATGCGACGTCGATGCGAAGCATGCATCGATACGGAAGGAAATCATTTTCAGTAATTTCTGTAATGAAAAAATATATAAGTAAATAAAAAATATTTATAACTTGGAAAGGAAGCATTTCCGAACCCATGTTTATACGATTTTTTTTTCATCCTTACAATAAGTGGAATATGCTCTTACAGTTTGAGACTAACTCTTTCTGAAACACTCCGTAACACCTTACTTTTAAAATACCCTAATAATAAATATGATGTAAAACATATTCATTTATATGAGCAGCTTAGAAGTATATAGAGTATCCCGAAATTCGTGAATCAAAATACCACAGCAATAAAGTTTTTTAAAAATTAAATAAAAAAGTTATATACAGGGTGGGGCAATAACTCTGTCCACCTTGAATATCTCCGCTATTTTTAGAGATATGAAAATATTGTTATTACAAAAGTTGTAGGGCATCAAGAGAACTATAACATGTGCTAGTCATAATTTTTTTAGGTGTAGGCGCTTCGGAGATTTCGAGGTCAACTTCATGTTTTTAAATAGAATTATATGAATTTTTTTCACTATATGATTTCTCTAATTATTCTGTACATAAAAGTATTAAGGTAGAGATATAAAAAAACCAATAGTTCACGAGTTATTAAACATTTTATGTCAATATGCACCAAAAGAATATGTAAAATATCTCGTAAACTATTGGTTTTTTTATATCTCTACCTTAACACTTTTATGTACAGAATAATTAGAGGAATCATATAGTGAAAAAATTCATATAATTCCATTTAAAAAAATAAAGTTGACCTTGAATCTTCGAAGCGCCTCCACCTAAAAAAATTATGACTAGCACATGTTATAGTTCTCTTGATGCCCTACAACTTTTGTAATAACAATATTTTCCAGGGAATGGAAGTAACTCGTTACTTGTAACGAAGTTACAGTTACAAGTTACTTTTTTGGTAACTTTACTGGTAACTGCGTTACTTTTTTTTT